CAATTCAATCATTTTACCGCATACAAGGGTAAAACAGTTCAGTTTTTTCAACAAAAAAAATCTCAAATTGCCATATTAGTAAAAATCGCACTCTCTTAAATTTTCAAAAAATTCAATCTTAACGTTGTGACTGCACGCTCCAAAAGTTTTTATCCGTTAACAATAACACATTTAAAAAAAAATATTTCGATTCGCATTTAATATTTTCGTCTCGATTGCTACCGGATTTTTGCTAAAAACAAAATAATTTTCATGCCTGAGAATGACTGAATGTACAGTTAAAAGTACTTAAAAAAAAAAGACATTATACAGATTATAATTAATTACAGATTAAAAACAAGGATCATAACATTCATCCAGTGATTCGTAGGTCAATGCAACTTTAAAATTTTGTTCGGGAAAGGATTTCGCCATTTTATATTTTTTAACTTTACTAATCTACTTTTTGTATGAATGATTCATTGTAATATACATATATATATATATATATATATATATATATATATATAGTGCTAACACCCTTGGAAAGGTATGAATACACCTCTTTTCCACCACCACCTCGTAAATCTAGAAAGATATCAGGATAGACTAGGTCCTATATATTAGGGTGGCAACCGGTCGATCAGAAGGACAACTCTAATTTCAAAACCTGTGGAGGATCTTTTGGGGGACCTTGTGTCAAACTGTCCACAATTCGGCTCTTCAAAAAGTGTGAATAGTTTTGCACAATCCTTCATCGCTAGAATCAAATCATATGTGTGAGTAGTCTGGCTGTTGGTAATAAGAACTGGGCTGTTTGGCCCTCGAAAACGACAGAAGAGTTCAGTCTTTGTTTACTAAGTTCAGTTTATTATTGAAATTTACTGCTGACTTTGCATAGTCCAGCGCAAGGCTAAGATTTTGAAGTTTCCAGTTTGCTTGAAACTCATTCCATTAGCAATAGTTTGCGAATTTAGCTTTTTAAACACTATTTTATTTTCAGCCGATTTAAAATTACTTGTATTATTGTGCTTAAGTCTGGCACAAGAATCAAACCCACTAGAATCTACCGTGCTTAGCTTGTTAGCCATTACTCGACGAAGATGTAAACGCTTTCATGTTCACCTCTATGGCATTTCCTTTACTTCTATATCTACTGGCTGATCGGAAGTACAATGAACGAAGTGATCGCATTTATTTAGGATATCTCTTACTGATAAGAAGAAATATTTATTGTTTTTGAAACACACCCAAACTGTCTACATTTACAAACTTCCGACCCATATGTTTCGCTTTCATTTTTAATGCATCCCTTCTGTCGTAAAAGAGGAACCATTGATTATATCCTCTGATCTATAATCGATGGAGGACTTTGATCTAAAACATTGAAATATTTATATCCGTGAGTAAAGTCCCAGGGACAAAACAACAGAGACAAATTAGTCTAAAGTTTTTTTTTTTCTGCAAGGATCGGTGTTGGGCTACAACGTTATCGATTTACCCGTGGATCACACAATAGGGAATCATATATCGTCGCTGTCGATCGCATCGTGTCTCTCGGAAGGTGAATTCTAGGAGAGTAGGTACAGAAAATAAATCAGATGGGAACAAGAATACACATTGTGAGAGTGTGGATAAACATCGGCCTCTCTCTCTCTCTTTCGTTCCCCCCTCTCTCTCTCTCCCTCCTGATCCCTCTCTCTCTCTCTCTTGATCCCTTTTCTCTTTCTGTTGTTCCCCTCCTCTCTCTCTCTCTTGTTCCCTCTCTTGCGCCCTTCTCTAAATCTATTTCTCATTTTCTCTCTTGTTCCCTCTCTCTCCCTCTCTTTTGCTTCCTCTCTTTTACTCCTCCTCTTTTTTCCTCTCCCTCTCTCTTTGGTTCCCCATCTCTCTATCTCTAGTGCTCACTCTCTTTCACTTGATCCCTTCTCTCTTTCTGTTGCTCCCTCTATCTCTTGTTCCCTCTCTTGTGCCCTTCTCTAAATCTATTGCGCTCTTTCTCTTTTGTTCCCTCTCTCTTTTGCTCCCTCTCTGTTACTCCACCTCTTTTTCTTCCTCTCTCTCTCTTGTTCCCCGATCTCTCTTTTGCTCACCCTCTATATTTCAATTCTTCTTTCTCTTTCTTTCTCTTGCTCCTCCTTTCTCTTGCTCCCTCACTTGCTCCCCTTCTCTCTCTTGCTCACACTCTCTCGTTCTTGTTCCCTCTCTCTCTCTCTCTCTTGTTTCTCCTCTCTCTCCTGCTCTCTCTCCCTCTCCCTCTCTCTATCTCTCTCTCTCTAGCTCTCTCTCTCTCTCTTTCTCTCTCAACTAAAGCAAGACGAACCCAATGTATCGAAAATTGAGGGAAAGAGTAAGAGAGAAATAACTTAATTTTTAAAATGAAAATATACCGAATCAAAGAGAAAATATGCTGATGGCAAACTTATCCCTGGTTGACCATTCCTCCCCGTCACCCCTCTGAATTCTTTGAATTGATCAAGCCAAAAATTCTTCATTTTCATTTCAGTTTGTTGCGCATTTGAATACGTGATCAGTTCCCTCCACATATCTTTGTTGAAAGCTATAGAGATATTTATTCATGCCTAACGCCTTGGGCAAACAGAACTGGTCAAACCACATCTGATATCCTCCAACTAGAAAGTCCACCCTAGTTAAGGATTCGTGACCGTAGATTTCATAGAGGAAAACATTATTTTTGACTGTCTAGGAAACCCCCACCCAGTGATGCCGTGTCATCACTGTAAGCCTGCATCCATATTCATTGAGGAGAAATTATAGACCGAATCCCAGCAAGTTAGCTCATTACCATAAATTTGCTAGAGACACTGGCAGATAAAATACATTAATATTTACGATAATATTTTGAGAAATGACAAGCGCTGCCAATCAACATTTCAAAATGAAATGAAGAACCACCCACCAGCGAGATCTGTTAGATAAAAAAGCATTTTCATGTCGGTTATTCTTATCTACTCGTCGTAGAATGCATTCTCGGACAGTTTAGAAAGACATGAGAACTGTCAGCTAAGTAAACCTCATCGCCTGAAAAATTATTTGAAATTCTGTACATACACTTAAAGATATAATTCAAAATGGCTTCCCATATTATAAGAGAAAATGAAGCCTTGCGCTCAAATAACCTCTCCTGACCCCAATCCTACCTGTTTTTCGTTGCCTAGAAACGCAAGCAAGCAAGGTGAGAACAGCAGCGTGGTGGAGGCAAATACTATCACCTGCGACTTCTAATTAGGAAGAATTAAGACAGTTGAATGCAGGGCGTAGAATCGAACGAAATTGGTGCGAAAGAATCGCCTGCTGATTTAAAGACAAGAAGAAAATGAAAAAAGCGGAAGTGGGATAAGAGGAAGATTAAAAAAGAAAAAGATTTAAAAAAAAAAAGAAGTTGCGAGTAGAAAAGAAGAGGAGAGGCTTGCGAAAAGAAACAAAGAAAGCGGGATAAAGAAAATGAAAAAGGGAGACGAAGAGGAAGGCATGAGGCAAACAGAATAAGAAAAGAAAGATGAAGAAGGAATAATGACAATGAAGAAGAGCAACGAAAACAAGAGAAAAATAAGAAGATTATGCTGCGACAATCTTGAAAGCAATAAGAGTACTCATAAATTAAAATCAAAATATTATCTATTACCAGAGCACGAACACCGACCTTCAAAATCTATTGGAAACGCAATTCTATCAGTAGTGGCGCATGCCTCTGTATATATTTACCATTTCTCTCACACCCATCCAAACACACATTTTTTTTTTTTTTTTTTTTTTGATAAGGCAGGATCGAGATTAATCTCGTACGAAGCAGGGTTGGTCCTGCCTAACAAAGAATTTGTGATAAAGACATGAGGAAAAGGTTTTACAAGGCCGGATGTTTTTCCTGACACCATACTCAACCACTCACATCACATCATAGCCCCATCTATCTATCTATCTATCTATCTATCTATCTATCTATCTATAACACTATCACTTCATAAGACACCAGTAGTGTTGAAACAAAATTGAAATATATATATATATATATATATATATATATATATATATATATATATATATATATATATATATATATATATATGGGGGACTAATATTCGTACAGATACAAATTTTTAATTTATTGTATTTCCAACTAAGATACATTTCATATAAATTAACTGTACACAAATGCATAATAATTAAATATGCATAGAAAACAGAAAAAAATTGATTTAATAGAAGTAAATCCCATTTATTCATTTTAATGGGTGAAAAAGTATTCGTGCAATAAGAATTTCACATTTTAAAACTTTTAACTTGCTTTAATACTCTAGATTATTAAAGTGGAATTTTCTAAAATGTTTTAATAATGTTATCCAGTTATTTTTAGCCTTAAAATACAAGCAGGGCATCCTGTAATTTATATTCGTACAAGAAGGTTATCATCATAGCAAGAGGTAAAGAATTGACAAATTCACAAAAATAACTGATTGTTAAGCTCTGGAAAGAAGGTAAAAGTTGCAGGAAAATCTCAGTCAACCTGAATATTCTATTTATTGCCATTAGTTCATTCATTGCAATGTATAAAAAAAAATCAAAACTGTTTAAAACCAATGAAGAACAGGTGATCCATGGAAGATTTCTTCAAGTTCTTTGACTAAATTATGTGTCAAATTAAACAAAATCCAATGGTTACTTATCAAGTGTTGCAGGATTATTTGCTTTCATCAGGAATCTATGTCACTAAACCGACAATAAGCAATGAAATTCATAGGAACAATCTAAAATCATGCTCCCCTCGGAAAACTCGATTGCTTTTGAAAAGACACAGAGATGCCAGGTTGGAATTCGTTCGTAAACATAAGGATAAGGAAACACCGTATTTAGAAAGATTATTATGGACAGATGAAATCAAATTTGAGTTGTTTGGACATCATCCTAGAAATCATGTATGAAGGAAAATGGCAATACCATCAAAGAAAAGAACACAGTTCCAACAGTGAAATTTGGTGGTGGTAGCATCATAGTTTGGGGATGTTTTTGTCTGCAAAAGGTACTGGCAACATATCAATAATAGATGGTAGAATGAATGCTGCTGCATATCAAATTATTTTGGAAGCAAATTTAATGATTTCGGTTGAAAAACTTCCTCCTGATTGGATCTTCCAGCAAGATAATGATCCTAAGAACATTGCAAAATCTTTGAAGAAATGGCTTGCAGAAAATAATGTAAATATCCTCAAATGATCAAGTCAGTCCCCAGATTTAAATCCGATGGAGAATCTGAGGCGTTATTTGTAAATTCAAATCCAATCGATAGCTCCAAAAAACTTCCCGGATCTGAAGATCATATACGAAGAAGAATGGAACAAAATACAAACTAAAATTTGCAAATCATTGAGAACTACAAGAGGTTGGTTGCTGTAGAATTGAATAATGGCTATTCTACAAAATATTAAATGAAGATTATGTAGTCTTTTTTGTATTGTACGAATAATTTTTTATCCATTAAAATAAATAAATGGGATTTATTTCTATTAAATCAATTTTTTTCTGTTTTCTGTGCATATTTAGATATAATAAAATCATCATTGGGGATTTAGCTGAAAGGGGGGATGTGGTCGGAGAAATTGTCTGACAGCTATGACTAGATTCTCCTGTTTGTGTGACATGGTGCAAAGTCCTGTTGCCAGACATAGGATCGTAATTGCCATTAGACTCATCCATCTCTATTGACATCCTCTGCAGTGTCCTCAGATTGACACCCAAATACTCCGAAATTCGTATTAGAGCTTCCGGTGCGAATGCCAAGCAATACAGATGCCGTTTCCAAATTTCTAGCGGGAGAAATGAGTCATGTTTCTCTTTTTTTCACAGACGGCGCCCAACTGACCCTACTATACTGCGCAGTCAACAAAATCAAAAACAAACAATACGCATGTGCGAAATTAAAAATATAAAATGGCGACAATTTACACGACACATCCTGATCCGCCTCGAACATGAGAAATGGAATTGCTGTCATTTCCATTATTATTATTATTATTATTATTATTGTTATTTGTTTTTCCCAAATTATATACGATACAAACATTTCACTTAATGATTGTCACCTATAAAACCAATTGCATGTATGACATTATGTTTTAATTAAGTAAATCTTTGCTTACAGAAAAAATTGCAGAAATATACAAATAGAGAAATAAAGAAATCCAATTAAACAGACGAAAAATAAGCGGCAAATATACAAGAGAAAGATATCGGAAAATATAAAGAGAAGACAGACAATTTTTTGTCTATGTCTCTGACGCATGGCCCAGTGAATAAAAGATGCTAGTTACATCCAGTGACTAGACCCAAAGAGTTGTGAGTTCAATACCAGGCCACAGCAGTGGTGAACCAAAACTTGTTGAATTAAAGGGAAATAACTGAGACATCTGGAAGAGGCTTGGTACGTGAAACTAGAACAATCTTCCCCGGTGGACGAAATAAAGGGTTCGTTTTGAGATTCCAATCACCTGAAGAAGGCTGGAGCGTACAACGGCCGAAACGTTGTGAATATGGCAATGAAGATGAGGATAAGAGTCCGAATAATGCTAGACAGTTTTTTGACAGATATTTTTAGATCTGTGTAAAAATGGCTGTATTTTTCTTACTGTGATTAATTCCAGCCTGAAGTGAATACGTTGGACGAAAACTTTCTTAACTCGAGTCTAATAAGGTTTGTGTCGAAACATTATTAGACTGTCTGTATACTTGTCTTCATGTGTATGTTTGTATGTTCCATGTTTTCTGAGCTTGTGTGTGTGTGTGTGTGTGTGTCCATCGGCAGACATATTTGCGTAAGTATTGTCCATTCGTTTTCCCGTTCATTATAGGAAGGCGACAGGCACAATTGATATTACGCAGAAATCTCTCAGATGATCTTTCGGTCGAATTTCCCGGTAAAGAAAAGAATACTTTCTTATTAACTTGATTATTAAATAGTATCATTAAGTTTTACAATCAGTCAGACCAAAGTCAACTTCCTCGTATTATTAACAAAGATAAAAGTTTTACGCCAACTATTTCAGTTCGATCGAATTAATCGATTTCGGATGAAAACAATTTGGGGTTATTTTCATCTTGTGGGCATGTCACATCCCCACTCTGCTTACTCTCTCCAGAAAGAAACCATTTTGAATATCTTAAAAACCTTCTGCACGGCCTTGATATAACTTGTCAACCAATCAGTAGAGTCTTTTTTTCACATGAATTAATCTACCGTGAAACAAACACACATCATTGAGTGAGCATGCGTACTGTGTTACTCACGCATTTCTTCTGTCAATGTTTCTGCTCATTCAGAGTCCTGAATGCGCATGTCTGTCAGTAACAATTCTGTTCACACTGCAAGTTTGATTTATTAATTACTAACTAATATTATTTGACCATTGTTTTCAGTTTTTACAAATCCTGAATATTTAACTTTCAAGATAATATTTATTATCAATATGCCTGTTTGATGAGGCTCGTTATCAATCTTGACTGATGAACACTCATTGATTGAAATTATCTTCTTCGCTGTCGTTTTCCAACGTCTAACCAGAAAACAATATTTTTTTCCAAATCATTTTAATTGGTGATTCAGAGGAAAAATTTCTGAATACCGAGAGGATGTCGTTCATGACAGAAAATTTTTCACTTCTAAGATAAACTATACTTGATAACATTCGACAAAACTTCTTTAGGAAAATAATAAAATTTTCTGCATTAAATTTTTTCTCCTTTCTGTTCATGATCAGAAACAAATTAAAAACTAACATATAATCTTTTGAGAATTGATTTAAATGAGCTAAGTCAATTAAAACCAGTTTAAACTGATATTTCACGCCTTTTTTATGAATATAGATTAATTAAAACAAAATAAAGGATAAAATAAAAGAAAGAATATTTTAGAATAAAATAAACAGATTATTTCTCTTAAATCATTTTTTTCAAATTTTAATCATTTCCTGCTTGATTCTTTTACTCTTCTATCTTAATATCTCCGGACTTAATTAGAAAATAAAGTTTTTCTTAATTGTAAGCATTTATATTCAAACACCATTTAAAAGTAGATTCATTCTGATTAGAAATTAGCTGAAATACAAGTAAAGCTAACTATAAAATTCAATTTAGCTAATTACTGAATATTTCGCCTTGTTTATTTATTTACAAATATTTATTAGTTTTATAAATTGTAAATGATGTAACATCGAGCCTCATGGCAGCAACTTGTGTCCTTGAATCATTTTGAAATGAAGGATTTTTATTTGTCTAAATATTTGTCTAAATGAAAAACTGTAGCGAAAAAAAAGCGTTAAAAAACATGGAAATTAAAAATAATGAAATACAGCAATAAATCTAGTTAAGATATTTTTTATTTTGATAAAATTGAAAATATATTTCATTTATATTTCAAATTCAGATTAATCAAGCACAAGGCCTTATAAGAGTAAATAAAAAATAGGAAGATTGTATTGCGCCGGCATTCCAAACAAAAGCCGCGTGTTTATTTTAAAGCCTAACATTTGAAAACCTGATTTGTACAAAAATCAGTCATTGTTTAAATTATCTATTTCTTAGTCACTGGATCAATTTTAATAATATTTATTAGTAAAAGGAATTTTTGGTTTGGTATGGTTTGGTTTGGTATGGTTTGGTTTGGTTTGGTTTGGTTTGGTATGGTTTGGTTTGGTTTGGTTTGATTTGTTTTCCTTTCTAGAACGTTCAAAACTTTGGTTAAAAATCTTGTTTTTTCATCAGCACATCAACACCTCATGGGTCATAATGCCAAAATTTTGTCCTCTAGTGAGTTTTAGTAATATTTTTTACCCATAAAATATATTGCTTGCAATTTTTTTTCCAATAATGTATTACTGGTAATTTTTATTTTTTTACCATGAAAAGGTATTGCTGGTAATTTTTTCTAATGTATTTTTACATTTTCATGTTTTGACCCCAGTTTGGGGGATCATTATTTTCCCATAGCTGGGACCCTAACAGGTACTACCACCCTGAGTCAGGGTAGACCTGGGAACAAGAAAAATTAAGAGATGGTTCCACGCTCCTCAAAACCTCCTGATCAGAGGCCTTGCTGCCGAATGTAGTTTATCGTCATACCCAGAACAGAAGAAAAGGAGTCGGAAGTTTAAAACTTTTATCTACAACGCGTTTCGTTTCTTGTGGAACACCATCAAGGCAAATTAATAATCTTATACTAAACTATCACGTGGATATAGTGACATAAGAACATTCATTTACTTTCGAAATCTCATCATTTGACTTGCTTGAACACTGACCATCGGTGCCGACTGAAAAAATTCAACTACCTCAGCCACAAAGCATAATAGATATTTTAGTGGAAAGGAGGTAAAGTTGAATAGTAGAGAAAAACAAGTGTTCTAGCGATACACACCTTTAAGTCAATCGTCCCAAAGCTTTCACCACTGAACCGAATATAACACAGAAATCGATCAAGTGAGAGACTAATAGAATAAGTCCGATTGTCTTCTACTCAATGTATCGATTCGGTAATCAACTGATTCTTTAATCAGATATTATTGAACGTGTCATATTACGCTGAAATTATGGCGACTGGGCGTCTGTGGAGAGAGACGGGTGGTAAGTGAAAACGAGGATGTTGCCTGTTGTCGATGGCCTGTGTTATCGTAAAGAAAGACAAAAGTGGCTACAACATCGCAAATTCACTTACTATGATTGTTCAGTTGATAATCAAATGCCTTTTCTTTTATGATTTCCGTACACAAAAGGAGCAGGAACTGGAAAGAAGGCAAATAAAATTATGGCTACATTTCTTTTTAGCTGATAAATTGGGGGTCTTATTATATCCTTCTTGAAAACATCGACAGGTTAGCAATGGTGGCAATATTTCAGTAGGAATAGCCAAATATTTGGAAAATATTGTTATTCATACTCATGTTTAGATAGATAGATAGATAGATAGATATGACTGTTACTTATGGCCATAGATAGATAGATAGATAGATAGATAGATAGATAGATAGATAGATAGATAGATAGATAGATATGAACAGACTGTTAGTTATGGTCATAGATAGATATCCGGAATCCCGCATATCTAGACATGATTTTGATGTGTATATTTGAACTATTTGGGTGATATCTAACTGATTTGAAATTCAGTTTCAAGAAAATTTACTTTAGATAATTGCTTATTCTTATTTCACCCTAATGGCTTATATTGGTGCAAAAGACGATGGGGAATAAAAGGAAAAGAACAACTTTGGATTTATCGCAAAAAGTGGAAATTTTAAACAGACTAGATAGTGGTGAAAGTTCATTATAACTAATGGCTGAGTTCAACATAGGAAAGTCAATATTGTATGATTTAAAATCTTCCAAATAAAATATTCTCCAGTATTCACATTGTCACAATGAATAAGAAAATAAAAAAAAAACGTGATTGTGATGAAACCTGATTTCAGTTCTTTTATTTTAATCTAAATATAACCCCTCATATCCGGACTTTGTAACCAATTCCTCAAATCTGGAAGGCCTTCTTAGTCCGCTTGTCAAGGATTCTACTGTAGTTAAAATTTATATAAAGGGCACCTCGTAATGGTTAGGACAGTTAGTCTGGTTAATTATTACTACTGAGTGGTGACATCAATGGGTGCCCCATACAAAATCAAGTGATGACATTACGTAAAATCAAGTCACCAACATTTATATAAAAGTTTTTATTTAACACATATTCAACATAATAGTTCCTTAAAGAAAATCTGTCTGACACAAAAGTTAATAAGAAGAAAATTGAGAAGAAATATTAAGTTATAAATATCATTCAAATGAAACCCTGTATTCGGAGTTCCGGACATACAAGGTTGAAATACCCTCGACCTCCCAGAAATACTTGCCCCCTAATTGTAAGACATTAGCTAGATGAAGACATCATTGCCAGTAATATCATATTATGTGGAACCTGTATTTCAGAATGATGTGGGTTTCAACAAAAAGTACAAATTTGGTGATTGTGCACCGATTTTGTACTATATCAGCCTATAAATATCTATCTATCTATCTATCTATCTATCTATCTGTCTGTCTGTCTGTCTGTCTCTTTCGCATTGTGTTTTTATCAATCTTCCTTATTCTGTTACTAACTATATCATTCTACTAATATCTATCATCGTAAATAATTTCCCTGAACCCTGCAGTGTCTCTGCTTAATGCCCTTTAGACCAAATCTCCAACAGGTGATCGGTGCACGTTCCGAAACTATTCATCTAGGTAGACAGTTCAAAACTATACAAATTAGGCGGACTAATTTTCCTATAACTATCTCTCCTGTAATACTGCTTGATCGGTTCGATAATCCCTTATAATCAATATCCAGGCTTACCGCTTTCTCTGATCTCCATGCCTATTTATCGCCTGGATATTAATCCACTGCCAATGGTGATGGACTTCCATCGCCTCGTGGAAACTTTCACACCTAACCTGGGATAAGATTGAGGTTCCCGACATCGCTAACCGGGCTGCTTCTTCTACGGTTGCTGCGTCCTGTCTATTTGAGTTTGTACCTGCATGCTGTTCAAAATCTCCTAATATAGCAGATGTTTCTCCATTTCTGACCCTTATTAGGCATTATTAAATAGGGAGACTACCTTAAACTTGTATTCCCCCCTCTAATTGTCTGATGGTAAACAGTCGCTGTAACGATTCCGTAGGATCTACGGTTTCCGCGTAGCATCAATCCATCAACGTCCTCAATTCGCCCCATGTTGCACCTAGAGAAAAATTTCCACCAAGTCCGCCGCCTTCCCCGCACACAACTGATATGCCACGAGGGTCTTTCTTCCTTCCGGTACTTCGGCAACCCAATCTCTCCTCCATGGCTGTTACAGGCGCGCTGAGGCGAAAGTGTGCCGGGAGATGAGCACCCCTCGTCTTTGCTTCTGCGTGACCCGCGTTGCTCCTTCTATCCCTGTGCGCGGAAATAGTTATTTTTATATACAACAGTTTCCTTTGTCCTATCATATTCGTCCAAAAAACAATTAATCTTCCTTCCATGACTTTCTCTCAGACTTGATCTTATACTTTGAAGTGAACTCCAGTTACTGATAGCCGCCGGTCGAATGTAAATTTCCATATTGAGTTTTATTAAATTTAACTCATATTGCTACAGTACCAAAGATGAAAGCTCATCAGAACAATCACAATGACACTATTTATAGAAAAAGGAACAGGGAAGTTACGGTGGGCAAGTGACTCTAGTCTAGATGACAGGTGAGGACAAATAACATTGCAGATTCTTCTTTGGATTTTATCAAGAATATATATATATATATATATATATATATATATATATATATATATATATTATAGGTCCATTTAAAATTTGTTTATTAATTATTTGCTCTCTAATAATAATTAGATTGAGCTCTTTTTATCGATTAATTTTAATATTTTTATTGCTAGGATATACTCGAATTATATACCAACGGATTTGTTACCTTTATATATATATATATATATATATATATATATATATATATATATATATATATATATATATATATCGATAAAGTTAACTTAATTGGGAAGATAACCACAGAATTAATGGTGAAAGGAAGATTATGTTGCAGCAACTCAAAAAATAACGCTAAGCATTCAATAAATTTAATATTGAAATAAATTTGAAATCGAAAGAAAATACAAATTTTAAATGGACATATATATATATATATATATATATATATATATATATATATATATATATATATAATAAATTGTTGTTTTTAAAAAGTTTAATTTTTATGATCGAATTTGAATAGAGTTTCAGTTTTGAAACCTGGGAATATGATAATCTATTTTTAAAACAACGATTATGTTCTACTGTTGTATCGAGCACTGTTTTTTTTTAATTTAAAATAAATGCTAAGAACTCTGAATTATCAATTTCATTGTTCTTTTCTATTATTTTAATATATATGTGTGTGTGTCTGTGTGTGTGTGTGCGGCCTGACGATTGCATCTAACATAAAACAGCCTGTCATCTCTCAGTGTTCACTTTTATATATATATATATATATATATATATATATATATATATATATATATATATATATATATCCGTGTGTTTGTTTGTTGTCAAAGAATCTGTTTGCTTATGCCTCTTCAGATATATCTTTTTTTCTTGACAGATGTGGCTAAGTCTAGGAAAATTAGACTTCGACAAAGCAAAAGGTGTTTACCAATAAGTATGCGTCTTTTTTTGCGTACGTCGGGAAAAAAACCAGAAAAAATAGGTAAGAAGCGGGGGTATTCAAACGGTTACATAACAATTAAAGCCACATCGACGTCCATGAATCGTGAATTAATATTCATTCGTATCGAAAATGTTGAGTTTAGCATCACTTAACCGAGGGAAAAACGCCCATTTTGTCTTCTTTAAATTCCTTAAACAAATACCTCTGTTTATCTTCTGGAAAGAAGCAGATTCACACCATATGCTTCAAAAGCAGCCTCGTCAACATATTTGTTCATGGGAGCGAGCAAGAGAGAGAGAAAAATATTCTTTTGCCTTCAGACAAAAAACTATTTTTTACTTATAGCTGAAGTAAGCCTATATGCGATCGAACTCGATGTGCTTAAACAGAATTCGCAGATTCTTGACTATCCAGCGTCTAAGTGTTTATTCAAAGTATGACACACGTCCCTATGCTCTCATAAGTTTTTGCCCAATGTGCTGACATCCAAGACTAGGGTGATATATGATACTCCAAAAGGCCTAGGGCACCTCGAGACAGTGTAATGGTTAACAAGCTTGTCTCGCTAGAACAATTACGATTGAATAGTGAATTCTTTCGGCCTTGTGCCACATCTAAGCTACGCTTGGAAAATCTCTATAGAGTACTTCGATGTGGTGTAATGGTTAGCAAGTTTGTCTTGTTAGAATAATTACGACTGAGTGCCCCATACTTTTGGCCTTGTGCCACATCTAAGCTACGCGTGGAAAATCACTACTCCAAATGCCTATCTTGACAGTTCGCTTTCGAAATACTAACCAGTTTCACGAGTTAATTAAAAGAATCAAAGGTCGAAATGTTTTTATATATCTTAATCCATTCCTGTCTATATATTAAACATAGTCTGGAACAAGACCAGTTAATTTGGAGTAATTCTGCTTATTCAAAACAGTAAAGTCTGTCTCGCTTCAAAATCAACCCCAGTTTTGTTTAATTTTCACAATGGTTCTAATTTTAGTAACGTCTCAATGTTATTGCGGTATTAAAGAATACTAAGTTAGAATTTGTTTAAAACAACGGAACTATAATGTCGGCTCAAAACATCCAGGTAGCGTCAAGATGACCAACAACAAAGGACATGTGGGGTAATTTTAATTGTTTGGGGCAACACCAGTGTTTCCTTTACGGAACGATTAACTACGGCGGCCATTATAACGTGACAAACAAAGACTGGACGAATATTGCAAAGGAAAAATGAGACAAATGAAAATAGCGAAAGACGACAGAAAGGAATAAAATAAAAAAAGAAGAGGAGAAAGAGTCGAAGAAAATGAAAAAAAAAGGTAGAAAGAAAGGAAAGGAGAAGGAAAAATACAACATTAACAAGAAACAAATTTAATAATTGAACACAACAAAAGAATAACAAGAAAAATAAATTAGGCAAAAAGAAAAAGAATCCAGACGAAGGAAAATTGGAAAGAAGAAGAAGAAGAAGAAAAAGAAGAAGAAGAGACGTCTCGAAGAACGTAACAAACCTCGTTACCAAAAATGGCGCACAAAGGCAGACTGCGTGTCGCACAGTAGCAGATCTTCACTAATTGAACAGACTAAGGCGGGAAAATGACGAAGAGAATACCGCTTCAATATGTCCGTCCTTTGTCGACAGATGGCCGACACTTTCTTTGACTAATCGAAATGCCTACGTGTGGTGAACGTTAGTGAGGCCAGGCTTACCATGGACAGGCAGATTCGCAATTATGGTGGGCAGCGGTTTAGATTTAGCTTTCACTTAGAAACAAGTGCTACATCAATCTTCTTTGGGGGAATCATAGTGTCTTCTCCAAAATAAGATAATGCTACTGAAGACTTTCGCAGAATTACTTTCACTTCTCGCCCCTTCCAGTCTTTGCACCATTTTAGCAACAACGTAACATCCGGTTGTTCTACGATAGACTAAAACAAACATAAATATACTTGAGTCTTTATACAATATGATTTAACATTGCTACCATATTCAAAACCATTTCATTTGTTTCTTCCGCTGGGTCATTTATTAAACAAGCTTAGATTTGCTTTGGAGAAAAGTAAGTATTATTAATATCAGATCTAAGGTATAAAAAATTAAATAAAAGCGATAAAAAAGCATAAAAAATACATTACTGCAAAATGGTAATGTCGAAATAGAAACCAGACGGTAGATCGACTTTCTTTCTTCTTGTCTTCAACGGGGGCTCCGATGAGAGACGGACCAATAAACCAAATCAGATGTTTTTGGTTCACTTTTTACATCATTCGGACTATTGTCCTCATTGTCGCCATATTATACAACGTTATTCGTTTAATGGGTGTCAGTTACGAAATATCTCCTGTCAATTCCCCTCAACTGCCTTAATTGGGTATTGAACTCATACTCTCTGGGTCCTGTCATTGGATCTAACTAACGCATTTATCTACTGTGCCATGTGTCCTTGAGGACATATGTGTATGAATTTCTGGTTATTATAAGCCTAATGTCTTCAGCAACCCTTTTTACCAGTTCTCATATTGCAATTTTTTGCTGTTATCAATGCATGTTTTTACCAGAGCTCATATTGCAATTTTTGTTATTATTGCTTTTCTCTGACACTCCTTATTACTGGAATTCATTTCTATACTTGGTCGGTTCAGGTGATTTTTGTGGCCTAGCATATGTTCTGATTCCTTAAATTTACGAATTTTCCAATGATGTTCTTTGTCTATGATCCCAAACTGATCCCACAGAGGGCCGTGATCTCCCTTTTCTCTCCATATCTTGTCAGCTGCGCCTGATGTTTTCACTTCCCCTCATGTTAGAACTATTTGTTGTTCTTGAAGCCTTACCTTAAGGGGGCGGCCTGTCTCCCCTTTATATTTCTCTCCGAGGCTGCACAGGATAGCGTACACACAGTCTTTAGTCATGTTCTCCTCTATGGGGAGGGGCGGACTTACTCGGGAGAGATATCTGGGCAGTGTCATCCAACTTTTGAAGGTTGTCCTGATGTTATAAGGGCCGCAGATTCTTTGTATTTTCTCTGATAACCCCTCCACGTACAACGGCCGAAGCGTTGTAATAAATATGGCGACAAAGATGAGGATAATAGTCCGAATAATGTAAATAGTGTACATAATACCTCATCTCAGAAATATAATGTTTTTTGGTGTTATCTATTTCGATATTACCACTTTACGGTAATGTATTTTTACCCCCCTTTTTTGTTATTTTTTCTTCTCGGTTTAAGGCGTCCATTTTTATCGTAATTATTGAAGCATATTCATGTGGAAAAGCCAACTAATAATTATAAAAGTTAGTCAGTAAAAGCTAGAAGAAAATACAAACCGTTAATTGTAAGATAGAATGGATGGTAGTGAGCAAAAAAGACAATACCAAGGACTAAGTTACATATCAGGAACGTCGTTATAAAACCACCATAGAAATTCGTCATAACAAAGACGTCAGAAAATCTGATACAACAAAATCCGATAGTGTATATGTATATGTATCAGCTGTCGGTCTTGAGAGACCCCATGGATCTGCACCCAAAGAGTTATGCCTCTAATGCTAATGGCGGTGCAGCATCTGTTATGTCACACGGGAGGGAAAACCTCGATTGCATCGAATGCACGTGAAGAGGTTCTCCTCTGATGTTACCATATTGTTTTCTTTTCGTCGAGCACGCTTCTCTCCCTTTGTTTCTTTTCACCTTGCTTCAACCCCGGGTGTAAATCGATGGCGCATAGGAATAGCCAAATAAACAGAACATGGTAATAAAATATCGAAAAACAACATTTGTAACGAATAAAAGTAACAGTAATTCTTTCATTTGTGAGGAGATTTTCTTTGTGAAGGAATTTTTCATTTAGTTTTTGTGTATTTCGTAAATTTTTTTCTGCTTTCCGTTACGAATTTAAATACGAATTGATCAATGCCTGATTACTTCCGGCTTTCGTAAGACGTTTTCAAAGAGTTTTCGCTTTTGTGCTCTATAGGTTTCATCGTTTTTTTTTAAATATCGTGACCTTGCGTGTTATATCAGTTTTTTAAAGTATCAAGTCTTTTTTTGACTTTTAATATTGTTGTCGACTGTTCTTATTTATGAAATATATTTAGTATGTTTGTTCCTAAGATGTGTATAGTTTTGACAACTGACAGGAAGAAATATAAGCGTCCCACCCAAGAGGGGAAACACAGAGAATCTCTCAAATCGTTGTGAGAACAAGAATTCGGAGAAACCCCTAAACGCCACCCCCCAGCACAGATATCAATAATCTCGTATTCTTTTTAGTCTTCAGAACGCGAAGATTACATTTAAAAACAGTAAGCAAACGATTCTAGTAACGCACTTGAAGATGGCAGGAGAGTAGACCGGCTGCAACAATGTAATAAATATAAAAAGATAAGGATAACTGTCAAGTAAAAATCTTCTTGATTTAATGATTGTGTGCTGCGTGTGTCATCATTCAAAAAGCTGCTTCTCGATTCGAAACTATATAAAACATGTTATATAATACCAAAATTGAGGGCGCCTCGGCGTGGTGTAATGGTTAACAAACTGGTCTTGTTATAACTGAACAGTGAGTTCGATCCTCACTGGCTGCCACATCTAAGCCTGGCTTAGAAAATCAATAGTTGGGCATCTCGAGGCGGTGTAATGTTTAGCAAGCTTGTCTCGCTAGAACAATTACGACTGAGTAGTGAGTTCGATCCTCACGGTGTGCCCCATTCTTTCGGCCTTGTGCCACATCTGGGCTACGCTTGGAAAATCACTATAATATCAAAATTAATGTTTTCCATATATGTTTATTTTGTGTGTGTGTCTTTACAATCTAGTGTCCCTGGGGGACTGTGTGTAGGCGCGTACAAATAAACAACGTTCATTCACAGCAGTACACTGTTGGTAATTGCTTTTGCTACTCAGGACTAATGACGTCAACCTTTACGCTGTCCACCAATCGCTGTGTCCGGCAGTTGATCATTACTGACTGTTAGTCACACAGTCAAAGGGCTGAGAATGTCCGGCGGGAAGAAGAAGACGAAGAAAAAAAGTAACCGTGTATTTCTGTCTGGTCATTCGCATTTCGATGCACAAATGTCCGACAAGAAATGAATTTTCATTTATTTATTTTTGCGTGTATGAACGACAGACAACCTGGGCAAAAGCATTTGAGTAATTTTCTGTGTTTAGAGAAACGTTGACGGAATTGTTTCTTATTGGTTTAACTTTAATAGAGTGTGTCTAAGTGTGTCTGAATGTATGTCTTTCTCTCTGTGTGTGTGTGTGTGTATGTGTGTGTCTGTGTGTATGTGTGTATGTGTGTGTTGCTCTTGCATTTTTTTTTGTATAAGACTTTTTTTCCTGTGCCAAGTCTCATTAAAAGCCTAAGAATATTATGAACCTGTCAGTGTTATGTCTCCGAGTTTTCCTGACATTTTCATATATATAGGTCCATTTAAAATTTGTATTTGTTATTTTCGATTTCGATATATATTATTGTTTATTAATTATTTGCTCTGAAGTAATAAATACATTGAGCTCTTTTTGTGGATTAATTTTAACATTTCATATTGCTAGGATATACTTGAATTATATACCAACGGATTTGTTACCTTTACTATATATATATATATATATATATATATATATATATATATATGTATTATGAAAAAGGTTAAAATTCCCTTCCTTTCTGCCGTGTGAGGATGAAAATTCGTTGTATACCACGACAAAAGATTATAAAAATATGTATATTAAATACTGTAAATAAATAATAACTTTACAAATATTATATAATAAACAAATAAACATAAGAATAATGGATGATTAAAAGTAAAACAATAAAGATTTTCCTTTAAATATGACATTGCTTTCTTTGAACAAAAAAAAAAAAAAACACGTCCGTTTACTCCGACATCGCTAGCTAGGGAACACGTTGTTCTTTATTTATTTATGTATTTCTATCTATCTATCTATCTATCTATCTATCTATCTATCTATGTGAAGGACAACTCTGAATTCAAAACCTGCAGAGGGTCGTTTGGGGAACTTGTGGCACTTAGTGCACCAGGTCTCTGTATTCGGCCCTTCAAAAAGTGTGAATGGTTCTCTAGAAAACCTTCACCACTATAATCAAATTATATGTGCTGGTGTCTGGCTATCGGTTCCTAGGAACTGTGGTGTTTGACCCTCACACGTCGAATATGACGGGAGAGCTCACCATATATATATATATATATATATATATATATATATATATATATATGTGTGTGTGTGTGTGTGTGTGTGTGTGTGTGTGTGTGTGTGTGTGTGTGTGTGTGTGTGTGTGTGACAGTATTTTGAAAAAGGTTAGATGTGTATTCAACAGATTGATAAATATAGAAAACAATTTGAAAACCCATTTTTATCCGAAAATGGTTCGCCGATATTTCGGTCTCATTAGAAAAATCATTTTATTTCATAATAACAAACTGTATCTGATAAAAAAAAAAAACAGTCACTTGATTTGAATCCCGTTTTCCTTTCTTCATTTCAGATGATGCTAGGGTAGCAACGAAACATGTGAAAGCATTTCTTTCTAAGTATGTCATATATATATATATATATATATATATATATATATATATATATATATATATATATATATATATGGGTGTGTGTGTGTTTGTATGTGTGTGTGTAAGCATTTAAGAAATTTGATATTCAAATAAATTTTGAAAAATAAAAGTATTTTGAAAATAAGAAATACAAATTTTAAATTGACCTTAGTTTTTGTGCAGCATTCTCCCATATATATATATATATATATATATATATATATATATATATATATATATATATATATATATATGAAGAAAAGAACAGATTTAGAATCTACAGTTCATTTACTTTCTTATGTGCTCAATACAATGTAGAGTTTAATATTTTTAATAATATTTTTATTTTTATTTAAATTTAAATTTAAAATATTTTACATTGCTAAATAAAAATATCATTAAATATATATATATAAATAACCACAACTAATTATAAAATATTTAACATAAAGATTAGAGAGAAATTAACGATCTGTAATCATTTTTGAAATGTCGAAATATATTTCTAATTTAAATATCAACTGCTGTGAGAATTACCATTTTGATATAACGAATAATTATCTCAGAAAAAGCCTTTCCTTTAATAGTCACAATGCGTAAACCAAGTTTTTTTAAGAGAGAGGGAGGGGATGACAAATGATAAGGGTATGAGAAAACGAGAATGAAAGGTAGAAAAGAATAGAGAAAAGAAAAAGAAATTGATCAGTGATAGAGAGGAAGAGAGAAAGAGAAAGGAAGAAAGTGAGAAACATTAGAAAAAGAAAGATACAGTAAGACTGAGAGGGAGTAATGGTGAGAACGAGAGTAAAAAAAAGAGAGAAAGAGAGAGAGTAGAAAAAGAAAGCGAAAAAGAGACGCTTCAAATGATTATCACGAAGTTTAAACAAGTTTCAAATTCGATTAAGCTTATTCAACGCTATTTTTTAATCTGAAAACAACAAATAATCTCCTTGGGGAATGATGTCCAGTTCATGATCACGACAATAGATAAGGCACATATTTATCGACACGGACCATAAAATTGTTCTTTTTTACATTTTCTTATATTTCATAAAGTGTTGAGTATTCAACGAATCAATCTTCCAAGTTTCTTTTCAATTTGAATACAGCCAAACATTTCAGAAGTTTGGGATCCAGCGACAACTATAAAAAATGTGTGGCCTGATGAATTAACCTAAAGTAAACTGTTCAAAATGCATGCGTTGAACGAAATGTAATTCCATCTTAGCTGGCTTTTCTCACTTATACCCTGACGTGCCAAAAGGTATGCAATAGATGACAAGTATCGTGTTGGCCTCCGCTTCCCCGGCAATATTCAGCTTAAAGTGGCATCGATTCTCATTGTCAGAAGATCAAAGGCGAGCCATGCCGTCTTTCCCCGGCTTCCTGTATTTATCTATGCAGCACTTTCATAGCGAATAGAGATCTCTGCCATGTCTCACAGATTCACGATTGGAATATTGACGAGTGGATTGAACGAGTGACATAATAGCCAAACAAATATGTCGGAATCTTTAAAATGACCTTCAAACTAATTCTGGGCAAGTTGGGTCCGATGACACACTGCATTATTTTTGGTAACTAGTTCTCATCATTTTGTAGTTTAAATTTTTAAATTTAACCGTAAGTTCTATGCTAGCAGTGTCTTCTCTCGTACTTTTCGTGTTATAGAACGCTCTCCTGCCTTCTTGCTTTCCAGTCAACTTTAATCTTCAAATATTTAAATGCAAAGTCAATCGTTATCTTCTGTCGTCTTAATTCTTGTTCGTTTATTGGTCTCTCTGCTTATTAATGTGTTTCTTTTTTCATATTCTTTCACACTCAGTAACCCCCTTACATCTTAGTGGCTTTATTGCCTTGCTTGGGGAGAAACGATTAAAATTTAAATGCAGTGTCAATCGTTATTTTTGTCTTCTTAATTCCTCTTCTTTTATTGTCTCTCTCCCTAATAATGTTTTTTTTATCTTTCATATTTTAGCATATTCAGTAACCACCCGCTTGCGTCTTAGTGGCTTTATTGCCTTGCTTCGAGAGATTACACCCTCAAAAACCCCTCGTTATTGGCATACTTGGAGTCATTTGAATGAGTCAAGTGTCTCACTAATCAAAATAACATAGCGGTGAACAGGTTAATAACATTATTTACATTATTCGGACTATTGTCCCCATCTTTGTCACCATATTTATTACAACGTTTTAGCCGTTGCACGCTGCGGCCTTCTTCAGTTTGTTGGAATGTCGAACTGAACCCTTTATTTCGCTCACTGGGGTAGACTGTTCTAGTTCCACGTGTCATGTTTAATGGATGTCAATTATGAGTTATCTCCTGTTAATTCACCTCTCCACATTCTCCACTGACTTAACCGGGTATTAAACTCACACTCTTTGGTTCCTGTCACTGGATCTAACCAACGCCTTTATCCATTGTGCCATGTGTCCGCAACAAAGATGAGGACAATAGTCCAAATAATGTAAATAGTGTAAAACGGCACCTATTAAAAATGCTATAATCTTTGTACTACTACTCCAGTATATATATATATATATATATATATATATATATATATATATAAAACAATAAAATCTAAAATTACTTCATATGGGAAATAGGCTATTTTGGCAGACCAAGATATTGGTTGTCTGTCTTATCAATACCGGTGTGGACTGAGTTCGTGTTCATAAAGATAGGGAGGGTGGGGGTTTAAGAAATAGAATTTAACTGTGAAAGCTAAAAAATCAACCTTTCGAAAAAATAATACAGAATTTATTCATTTCAATGTTTCAGTCAGACGAAAGGCACGAGACAAGGATCATGTAAGAGTGGAATTTATAGATTTATATATGTATATTGTATATAGGTGTATATGAGAAAAAATATATATATTCATATGTAGGTATGTGTATGTGTATATGTGTGTTTTCATGTATGTAATGTATGTTCTGATACGTGTATATATATGTGTGTGTGTGTGTGCATGTGTCTATTTATATACATGTATGTATATAATTTTGTATGTATTTGGAATTATTGTTTTATTTACTTAATTAGATATTTTGTGTTTTCATTATGGATGTTATCATCGCTCTGTATATAATTAGAAATAGAAAAGAATAGATATAATTTATCTCAGTTTGGTACCACATATGTAATGTATTTAATATATATATATATATATATATAAAATGGACTCTCTCGTCGCTTTCGATGTATGAGGATCTGACAGCTTGTCAGTTGATTCAGTTATGAAATTTTGTGCGATAATCTTAAGTGGCTTTTAAGACCCGCTAGTGATTTACAAAGGAAGACACATATGGAGCAACAGTGAGGACTGTGAGATGAGATCACTGTTAGATTGGCTGACCTTTTAGTTCTTGCTCTCGCTTCTTGAAGATGATTCAGGCAAGCAGATTGAAAACTGCTGAGTCAACTAAAACACGTTGATCTCTATTTTACCCGCTCCAAGGCTAAGTGCTCTAGGGTGCTATGTGGTATATTGACTGCTGACAAGTTGCTTTTCAGCTTGTCTTTGTATCTTAGCCATAGGCATCCTACGTTCCTGTAGCCCTGATCTAACTGGATGTACATTAGGATCTTGGGTATCCTGTCATCAGACATTCTCAAGACATGACCAGTCCACCGTATTTGAGACTGTATGATAAAAGACTCGATTCCTCCAATATTACACCTCTTAAACAGGTCTATGTTAGATGTCCTATCTTGAAGGTTAACTCCACAGATTTAACGCAGACAGCTTTAATGGAAAACATCCAGCTGGCGTATATATATATATATATATATATATATATATTAATGCCTATATGTATTTTGATATGTAAATTGGTTTGTTTTTTGTAGATATATTTGATTATTTCGTGGTAATGTAGTTATCTTTGTATAGATTCTATATTCTTAATATTTAATTATTATTATTAGTATTATAATTATTATGATGATGATGATGATGATGATTATTATTATTACTATTATTATTATTATTTGTAGTTTATTTTTAGTAGTAGTTGTAGTATTATTATAATTAATTCTATGTATAGTCTTATAATTATTTATATTCATTTTAAATAATTATAAGACTTTTTTATATTTTTTGGAAAAAAATTTATATAATCTTTCAAATAATTCTTTACTACACATCATTAATGTTAATAATTTTTTTTCAAAAGAATACAAAAGTGTCATATTTGTAACTGACAACTGAACCAGATAGAATATATTTTCGATTGTATACAAAAAATTATCAATTTTCCAACCATTCACCGAGTTTCCTTTCTTCTCTTTTCTTCCATTCCCCTCTCCTCTCCTTTCTTCTCTTTTCCCCCCTCTTTCCTTCCATCCCCTCTCCCTTCTTCTCTTTTCCCCTCTCCTCTCTTCTCTTTTCTTCCATCCCCCTCTCCTCTCTTTTCTTCTCTTTCCCCTCTCCTCTTTCCTTCCATCCACTCTCCTCTCCCTTCTTCTCTTTTCCCCCCTCCTCTCTTCTCTTTTCTTCCATCCCCTCTCCTTTCCCTTTTCTCTTTTCCCCCCTCCTCTCTTCTCTTTTCTTCCATCCCCTCTCCTCCCTTCTTCTCTTTTCCCCTCCCCTCTCTTCTCTTTTCTTCCATCCCTCTCTCCTCTCCTTTCTTCTCTTTCCCCTCTCCTCTTTCCTTCCATCCACTATCCTCTCCCTTCTTCTCTTTTCCCCTCTCCTCTCTTCTCTTTTCTTCCATCCCCCTCTCTCTCCTTTCTTCTCTTTCCCCTCTCCTCTTTCCTTCCATCCACTCCTCTCCCTTCTTCTCTTTCCCCTCTCCTCTCTTCTCTTTTCTTCCATCCCCTCTCCTCTCCTTTCTTCTCTTTTCCCCTCTCTCCTCTTTCCTTCCATCCTCTCCCTCTCCCTTCTTCTCTTTTCCCCTCTCCTCTCTTCTCTTTTCTTCCATCCCCCCTCTCCTCTCCTTTCTTCTCTTTCCCCTCTCCCTCTTTCCTTCCATCCACTCTCCTTTCTTCTCTTTTCCCCTCTCCTCTTTCCTTCCATCCACTATCCTCTCCCTTCTTCTCTTTTCCCCCTCCCCTCTATTCTCTTTTCTTCCATCCCCTCTCCTCTCCTTTCTTCTCTTTCCCCTCTCCTCTTTCCTTCCATCCACTCTCCTCCCCTTCTTCTCTTTTCCCCCTCCTCTCTTCTCTTTTCTTCATCCCCTCTCCTTTCCCTTTTCTCTTTTCCCCCTCCTCTCTTCTCTTTTCTTCCATCCCCTCTCCTCTCCCTTCTTCTCTTTTCCCCTCCCTCTCTTCTTTTTTCTTCCATCCCTCTCTCCTCTCCTTTCTTCTCTTTCCCCTCTCCTCTTTCCTTCCATCCACTATCCTCTCCCTTCTTCTCTTTTCCCCTCCCCTCTCTTCTCTTTTCTTCCATCCCCCTCTACTCTCCTTTCTTCTCTTTCCCCTCTCCTCTTTCCTTCCATCCACTCTCCTCTCCTTCTTCTCTTTTCCCCTCTCCTCTCTTCTCTTTCCTTCCTTCCACTCTCCTCTCCCTTCTTCTCTTTCCCCTCCCCCTCTTCTCTTTTCTTCCATCCCCCTCTCCTCTCCTTTCTTCTCTTTCCCCTCTCCTCTTTCCTTCCATCCACTCTCCTCTCCCTTCTTCTCTTTTCCCCTCTCCTCTCTTCTCTTTCCTTCCTTCCACTCTCCTCTCCCTTCTTCTCTTTTCCCCTCTCCCCTCTTCTCTTTTCTTCCATCCCCCTCTCCTCTCCTTTCTTCTCTTTCCCCTCTTCTCTTTCCTTCCATCCCCCTCTCCTCTCCTTTCTTCTCTTTCCCCTCTCCTCTTTCCTTCCATCCACTCTCCTCTCCCTTCTTCTCTTTTCCCCTCTCCTCTCTTCTCTTTCCTTCCTTCCACTCTCCTCTCCCTTCTTCTCTTTTCCCCTCTCCCTTCTTCTCTTTTTCCCTCTCCCTTCTTCTCTTTTCCCCTCTCCTCTCTTCTCTTTTCTTCCATCCCCCTCTCCTCTCCTTTCTTCTCTCTCCTTTTTTCTAATTTCTTTCCTTCTTTCTTCTCTTTTTATTTCAACCATCACCATCTGAAGAAATCTTTTCCTTTTCGCAGTATGTATCTTAAATTAGGTGAACATGTCGACATCTCAACATATTTTTTATACAACTGAGATAAATCCCTCTTTCTTTCATTTTCACTGTTCCCTCCTCCTTAAATACATACAGTTTCTTTCCCTCCCCCTCCCCAATTTTAAATCTGCAGAGTTAACATAATTTTAACTTTATCCAATTATAATTGTGTATAAGGAGTAGGTCTGAAGAGTTGACATCTCTCGATCTTAACGAAATAAATATCACCATGGTCTTTTAAGAGTTCGTTTTCTTTATAATTATTATTATTGTTCTTTTTTTTTTAACATTGAGCTCTCCCTGGATCTATATCCTTTTGGAATTATCCTACGGATTACGAAATATCATCATTATATATACATATATATAATAACTTTTTGCCATTAATAATAAAAACCCAGACGGCATGCATTTAACGGTTGTCAGAATTCGTTGAAAAATACACCCCTACCCTCCCTAAACTTAACCTCTTTTACGAACGTAACTGATAATTGATACAATAATAGTTAATAAAAATGAACACGCTACCGCCCCTGTCTGAATGATTGGATTCCTCTGTATTCTTGGAAACAGGAAATTATTAATTTATGTGTGCGTTTAAAACTCAGTAAATTTAAAAATAAGTTATTCCAATATTCGCTTGAAGATGAAATGGAACTAATGCTTTTAATTTAGTTACATAATTAAATTTGAAGATTTAATCTTCAGTTTTTGAAACATGGGTATTATTGTGTAGCGAAAAAACATATTTTAAATCAGTTAATTTATATTATTAATGCTCTTTAAATTTACATTGAGCACTGTTTTGTAAAAATAAAAAATATCAATAAGAACACCGGATTATATATCTTACTGTTCTTTCTTTTTATTCATATCGCACATTGAGTGCTGGTGATTACCCGATGTAATATAACAGAGTTATTAACTATCCTGATTTTCCAAGCGTACCTGAGGATCGAACTCACTACTCAGTCGTAATTATTCTAGCGGGACACGCTTGCTAACCATTACACCGCCTGGGGGTACCCTAGAGATATTAAGTATATATTAATAAATATACACATTATTCCTCACCGGTAGCACAATTTGGTTTTTCATGCACAACGCATTCTTCAGGTGCCGAGTAGAGCGTTGTGCATGAAACTACCGGTGAGGAATAATATGTATAATTTTAACATATATATATATGTGTGTGTGTGTGTGTGTGTGTGTGTGTGTGTGTGTGTGTGTTATCTTTTCCATCCTTTTCCACTTCTTTCTCTCGTCATATTCCTTCGTTCTTTCTTTCTTTCTTTTATGCTAATCGATCATTTTTTTATTTTTTTTATTTTTCATTTTCCTTCTCAGCGTAATTCCTTATTTCGTTTTTCTTTATTCGTTCTCTCTAAAATTTTTCCTTGTTTTTTTTTTCTTTTTCTTCGTTTCCTTTTTCCTATCCTATCTTTTGCCTTCATTTCTTTCTTTTTTTTTCATTCATCTCACTTTCTGTTGTCCTTCCTTCCTTCATTTTATGCTTTTCTTTCTCTTTTCCATCCTTTCTTTCATTTTTCTTCATTATTCTTCATTCCTCCATTCATAATGTCTCTTCAATTAGATTTTTTTCCTTTTTTTGAAATACGTCCAGTTTATATCAATTTCTAATTATTGTTTTTATTGCATCGTGACATAAATGCCCTTCGTCTTTCATTATTTGCTCCCCTATCATTGACATCTAGTAACCTGTCAGATGGTGGAGCAGGGGGGAGGAGGGGAATGCATGGGGAGGTAATAATCAACCGGAAACGGAATTCTATTCATTACACCGGCACGCTTTTCGGCCTTTCCTTTTAATCCTTTCAATTATTATATTATCCACAAATGGGAGCACCTTTTGAACTACAACTTCTTCAACACTTGCAAGGGATACGTTTACACGTATTCCAACCAATAATTTCTTTGGATTTATTCTGCATTCCTGTCAAATAATATTCTTGAGGGTTCCTCCATAACATGACATTAATTGTTTTGCTTTTTTCTTTTTTATTCAAATAGCTTTTATTCTGCTTCTGACTCTAAATAATTCACCTTCAAGAATTGTACGCAAGATAGATCGCTAAGAAGAAATACTTATAATTATGAATACAATACATTATTTCGATCGTAGTTTAATAGTTTTCAAACAATCCTGCAAATCATTTCTAGTTTAATTTGGTACGCACTGGGTTTCCCCATTTTAACTGGACCTTTACTAAATTAATTCATACCTCAAGTGGAACTCGTATATACGAACCATTGTTAAAGATGCTGTAAAAATATCCGGTTCGTTGCATAATAATAATAATAATTATAATAATAATAATAAAAATGCAAAAAAGTTGGCCAAATGAAATTTAAAAACTCGGAGGACAAGGCGTTGCATGTCAAATACCTTAAAAGAACGAAAAAAGTAGATGTGGACCAACAGAAAACAAAGCAGTGGCTGAGGAACAACTGGTTGAAAGGTGAGACAGGAGGCCTTATTAGTGCATCTCAGGATGAAAGCCTTGCAACCAGATCTTTTCACTGTCGCATAATCAAGAATGGAACTAACCCGAAATGGAAGATTAGTGGAAAATATGATGAAACTGTAAACAATATTACCTCAAGATATCCTGAACTAGCAAAAAATGAATATACTCACAGACATAAGAAGGTAGCGACATATGTGTACTGGAAAATGTGCAAGAAGCACAAAATCGAAACCACTGAGAGATTCTATGAGCACCAACCAGACACAGTTACCCAAAATAACAATGTAACTATCCTCTGGGACATGCCAATTCAAACTGAAAGGGAAATAAAAGTCAACAGACTTGATATTAAGAAATTCACAAAGTTTATGCTTATTAACATAACATTAACATCTGAGAAAAACACCTCCATAAAAATTATCGAGAAATTGTCCAAATACAAGGACCTGGAGATCGAGATTAACAGGATGTGGGGAATGAAGACTGAGATTGTACCAATAGTAATCAGATCCCTGGGCCTCTTGAGAAAAGGAATAGGTCATTTTACTAAGAGTGTCCCACGTAACATCAACATACAAGTTGCCCAGCTAGTAACATCCCATATACTAAGTAAAGTGTTATCAACAATTCTCCTATAGAGCCTAAGGACAATATTTTGAACCCGGCTCTACAGGATACAAAGCAGGAAACATAACATACAAAATAATAATAATAATTATAATAATCGGTTACAGAGATAGGACGTGTAACAATTTTATGGGACTTTATAATAACACGGACAAAACAATCATAGCTAATCGCCCAGGCAAAAACAGAAGGTGCTTTCTTATTGACATGGACGTCGCTGTGGATTGTAATGTATTTTTGAAGATCTTTAAAAACTATCAAAATACAAGGAAACGGAAATGTAAAAAATGTGGCACATGAAGACATCAATAATTTCAGTTGTAATTGAAGCCCTCGAATTTGAAAAGGGTCCGATAAACGTATTGAAGAGATTCCTGGTAGTCCATACTTTAAAGAACTGAAAAAATTGTATTCACAATTACAGCTCACACCATTATGAAGAGCTTTAACTATATAAAATGTGAGTGTGATTTTGAGCTTTTTTGTCCTGACTGCAGCCAATGAAGGCATGTACGCACCGATCGCAGCCACCTTGTCAGGTAAATAGAATAATTCATATAGAATTCCGTTTCGTTTGAAACTGGCTGAAACAAACATACGCATATAGGTATATGTAAGTATTGTAGATTTTAATAAGGTGATTTACCAATGGCCGATCTGTCTTTTAAAAAAAGCCTCATTTGAAATTATGGTTTTAAACTTCGGCTTGAACACCGACCAGAGACACACAAGGCAATATATGGAGTTAAGTGTGGCAAACAATATTTCGCTATGTTTCCGGGCAAATCCTTATAAATAGGTTCGTATTTTCCCAGCAGCCACCTTTCACAGATTTTCATCATTGTTGGAGCGTCAATGATGCTAATGGATAAGAACGATAACTTTAACGCATTCTCGCTTCCGCTTCGAAAAAAAAAAAAAACATTACAGCAATTTATCTTCGCTTCATCACAAATTAGTGGCAAATTATGAGATAAACAAATTTTTAACCAGCTGAATTGCTTTTTTAATATCTAAAACCAAACTTTCTAAATTAAAAAAGAAAAAAATCCATTCACTGTAAATTTATCAGAATAAGACGGATATTGAAAACTTAACGAGACGGAAAATGCATTTAACTTATTTGCTAACTTGTGGCCTTGAATGTATGAAGTTGATACATGGAATCACTAGAAAATTATATATATATATATATAGAGAGAGAGAGAAATACAGGTATAAGAACAAATTGAGTATAATTAAAAAAGTAGTTTAAACTAGATATATATATATATATATATATATATATATATATATATTGCATAACTATATACATTATATATATCGTATAACTATATATATATATATATCTTATAACTATATACATTATATATATCGTATAACTATATATATATATATATCTTATAACTATATATATATATATATATATATATATATATATATATATATATAAAAAAAAAGGGGTGCCGCAAACGTTTTTTGGTTGTAATGTGGATTTATTGAGAAAAATATTATACTTTTGTTTTACATAATTTCACGACACGTGTTTCTGGTCTGGTCTCGCAACCGTCTTCAGGTGAAAGTGGAGATTTTTACATATTATTAAAATAATTAATTTTTCTTCATGTTCAATGTGGAATATTCTCGATATGAGACATTCTGTTTGTGTGTTGTCAATCCGAATTTTCTTTCTAGAATTGTCAATGAAGAGTTCTGCGTGAAGGGTCATAAAACAATTAAAGGTTTGTCCAGCGAGTAGTTATTGGCATTTAATCTTTTAATGTTTTAGTGACCTCTATGTGCTCTTGGATCTGTTTCTTTTTGGCGTGTTCCTGTCAGCATGCGTGTATATATGCGTGCGTATATTTCCTTACTACGAGGAATTCGTAAACTTATTTGTACTTATACACGCATACACACACATACGCACATACACACTATCCCACCACAAGTAGTCAGTACACACACACATATACACACATTTTCCCAAGCTACATGGAACCAGTACACACACACACACACACACACACATACACACACACACACACACACACACACACACGTACTTCTTAAGTTGTCAACATCCGCATATACATACATAAATGTATGTATGTGTACATACACATATATATATCTCTCTCGTGTCTCCCGTATATGAGTGTGCGTCCATGCATGTGAGCGATCATTGTATTTGGTCACCCTGTGTGCATGTTTTTTTTTTTTGGGGGGTTTACGATACAGGGAGTCACAAAATGCAACAAAAAGATGTGGAGTTTGTGACATCATTATAGAAGGAAACTCCTACACTTTTGAAAACCCAAAAAACATTCACAATAAACAAAAACTTAAACTGCAACTCCAAAAATGTAGTTTATGCACTTAAATGCACAAAATGTAAGAAGTCATATATAGGCATCAGCCAACAACTGAACAACAGGGTCTCCCTACACAAAAGCAATATAAAATTGACAGACAACAGAAAACTTTTTGTATCACAACACATTTTCAAATGTAACCAGGGTAAGTTTAATATCATGCCGATACATCAGACAATTACTCGTATCTACAAATACAGGAAAAAAACTTTATAGACAAATTCAAACCCGAACTGAATAGATCGTAACCATGTAAAACAAAGTATAATATTTTTTCTCAATAAATCCACATTACAACCAAAAACGTTTGCGGCACCCCTCTTCTTTTTAATATACATACTTTTCTCTCGTTGGAACCACTACAACATATTTCTTTTATATATATATATATATATAGTTAGTTATATGACAACAAATGGAGTAAAATTCCACTACCCTTAGCATTTAATTTTTAAAAATTGCTTCAATGCAGAGTAGAGCTTTATATATATATATATATATATATATATATATATATATAAAAAGTTCTACTATATATATATATATATATAAAGCTCTACTATATATATATATATATATATATATATATATATATATATATATATATATATATATATATATATATATATATATATAGTTATAGTTATATGACAACAAATGGAGTAAAATTCCACTACCCTTAGCATTTAATTTTAAAAATTGCTTCAATGCAGAGTAGAGCTTTATATATATATATATATATATATATATATATATATAAAGCTCTATATATATATATATATAAAGTTCTACTATATATATATATATATATATATATATATATATATATATATATATATATATATATATATATATATATATATATATATATATATATATATATATATATATATATGAGAAAGCAATTTATGATGGCGAAAAATTTATTGAAAGTGTAGTAATTTCCAAAATCTTTCAGGTGAATTTAAGTCCAAGATCATCCAACGTGACCCCTTTCCTCTGAAAATTGCTGCTGCTGATGCAGATGGGGAAATTAAAAAGAATAGTAATGAAAATAATCATGAAATAAAACAAAAGCGTTGGAAAGT